AGGGCCTGCGCTGGCCCCTCACCCGAGCAGCCCCTCGCCCCGCAGGGTCCCTGCTGCTCCCTGGGGGGCTGTTAGGTCTGCAGGAACTGGGGCTGCACGCGGGCCACCTTACGGAAGTCCTTGGTGTGCGTCCTCGGGCACTGCATCTCGCACCAGCTGATGGGCACCATCTGCACCCCTAGGGACGCCACACGTCAGGGGTTACCCTTCCCAAAATGGTGTTCCTCCGTGTGGGAAGGGAGGAGGCTGCATCAGCTGCCCCTCAGGCTGGGATGAGGCAGAACTGTCCGAGCTCTGGCCCCGTGGCCTGTCCCTACCTGCCTCGCTGCGTGCCACCACCACGCCCAGCTCGTTCTCCGCTGTGCTCAGCAGGTAGTTGGACTGCGCGTCCCCCAGGGAGATCTGGTTAGGCGGGGGTTAAGGGAAAGGCCTCCCTGAGGGGACTCCCAAAAACTCCCTGCCAGACCCTCCAGGCACCAGGGGAAAGGATACGACTTTGGCCAGGACTATGTCACCGGGGCGGAAACTCTTGTACACTTCTACCTGCGCGGGAGAGAGCAGGTGAAACCACACAGCGTGTCGCGGGGCTCATCCCGCCAGCAGAAAGCAGGGGTGACTGCACTAGCACAGCCTCACTGACCTTATCCTTCTCCGTGGCTCGAATATCTTCTCTCCTGAAAAAGGAGACGGAGGGATCTGAGCACCAGCAAGTTGAAGGCGACTCTCGAGCCTGCGGCAGGAGCTGCTCCAGCCTCCCTGGGCGCTCGCCAGGACTTGCTGGACGCCTGCCTGGTGCTCGGGGCAGAGCTCCTGACAGGGCAGCTGGCTGCGCCGCCCAGAAAAACCCTCCTCCCCCCCTTGAGGATGGGGTGTTCAGGCACCCCGCAGGGAACCCAGCCCTCTTCCCTACCGTATGGTCCCCCGGAAGGTGGATTTCAGCGGTGTGGAGCCGACGTACAGGATGTGCACCTTGGCAAAGCGGGAGTTAATGCTGCAGACCTGCCCGGAGGAGAAGGGGAATCAGTGCCAGTGCAGGCCTGCTCTCACCCCAGCGCACCCGCTCCAAAGGGCAGGGTGCAGGCAGGACAGGGCTCACCCAGCCCCCTCCTCCCTGTGACCAAAGTAGTGGTGGCAGAGGGGGACACCCGGCAGCGAGCCAGGCAAGGAAGATGATACTTGTGCAACTCGAGACATGCGAATAAGGCCGAGACCTGCTGTGATCCCAGTCCCTCTCCCACCATCAGCACTGTTAAGGAAACTAATCCCTGGTCTCTGCCACCCTTTCTCCAAGCTGCCCCAGGCACTGCCCTCCACGCACCCTGCCTCAGAAAGAGTTCTGGAAGGGAGAGCAAAGAAAAACCTCCCTCAGCCTCAGGGGAGGCAAAGTCAAGAGGCAGGTGTCCCCCACGTCAGTACCTGGCTTCTTTATGAGCGAGGGACCCAAGGGAGCCACCGAGCTGCCTCTGCCCTGCTGGGGGTTGTACAGAGGGTACCAACGGGCCCAGGGGCTCCTCATCCCACCCCAAAGGTGGGCGGGAGCAGAGATCAGCATGAGGCAGGGGGAGAAAAGGCTGTGCGGTTTGCCATCGCCGTGCGCTCCCAGTGCCCTACCTTGCACGTCACCACAGCTCCCACGTCGGGCAGGAGCTGGGACTCGGCATCTCTCACCACCGACACGACGGGCAGCTGCAGGGCAGCAGACGTGGA